CAGAAAATCCAGAGCCCATCATTTCAATTGCTGTCGACCATATTAATGATCAAGAATTGGATGCTGTAGATAATGACCATAATTTTTGCCAAATTACAAATTTATCTGTGATCTTAATTTTGCAAATAGAAGCCCGTATCATGTACCTTGATAATGACCTTTTTGAGCATAGCCTTTTTAATTTATCTATTGGCATCATTACTGATTTGATCGATGAAAATACCATCAATGTAGTATTTCTGACACCACTAAGAATGATTACAGCTGTTATAAAAAGAATGACTAAATGCTTTCTTTTAAATAGCTTACCAGCAAATTGACATCAGTTCCCCCTTCAAAATGCCTTTGCACTCACTGTACATAAAACACAAGGATTAACCATATCTAACATTTCAGTTGCTATTGATGAACAAATATTTGCATATGGTCAGGCATATGTTGAGCTTAGTCAGGCCCCATCATGGGATTTACTAGATATTACTTCTTTCAATCCAGCTTATATAAAAATGATCCAGCTGTTGTTACTAAATATAATCGATTATTTTCATTATATAACGAGGGTTTAGGCAATTTTTTATAGCAATTTCTTTAATTTATTCTTTATATAATCACTTTTATATAATAACCTTATTTCAATCAATAAAAATATTCTCTCTTATCTAAATACGTTTATCATAATAGATTAGTTAAAATATGTTGAATTAATCTGAACAATAATTAAAATTATCTTTAATATTAAAAGAACTAAGATAATCGTCATCACAAGTTTTTTTATATCCATACATTTTCTTGCTCTAAATTGTTCACTTCAAAACTATATGAATTATAATTTAATTTTGTGAAGAAAAAAAACACATCATTAATTATTCTAAATAACCTTTCCTCACCTTGCTTAATTTCCCTAAATAAAATTATCGTAAATCGTAAATGTCTATTAGTTAAATAGCATTAATAAAATAATTTAAATTGACAATATATAATTTAGTAACTGATGAAATAATGTAAAATTTATTCTTTGTGGCGAATTTAAGAAATACCTGAAATCTAAAAATTTTCTTCAAACACCCGAATATATAAATATTACCCCTTAATACATATGTAATAAAAATTTTTACTACGTTAACTACTTTAGAATAGGAAAGCCATGTTAAGTGCATTATTAGTATAAATCATAGGTCTCAAAAAATTTTTTAATACTTGTTACTGGTATAGCAAAAACTTATACAGTCAAACCTCTCTAAGTATACTCTCTAAAAGTACACACCCTAATTAGATGCACGTTCAAATGCTGACCAAATATATACTTAACCTTATAAATGCACTTTTTCTTATTATTCTCTATTTACATATTATTAAAGTGTGAACCCAAGGATGTGCACTTAGAGAGGTCTACCTGTATAAAAACATATACCTATGATTTTAAAATTGGATCAAATAATTTAGATTTGTTAAATAAATCTTAGCTTAATTCTATATATTTACCATGATGTATTAAAAAATCATTACACATACCAAATA